GCTGGAAACAAAAGTGCACCTCTCTCGTGGATTAAGTACAGACTGCTTAAAGTTAACTCTGTTAGGTTGGTTTTTTTTTGTGTGTGTGTGTGTGTGGCTTGGCCCCGAGCCAAGGGCTAACCCACCACAACATCCTTCCTGATGGGCTCTGTCACCAATATATTTCTTTCTGTGCTACTGGCTAGCACTCGTAAGTGTTTTGGAAATAGAGCATTAGTTTTCCCTGAGCACCATGATCTACTATACCACGATACTGTGGAATTAGGCTGCCCTGTTGTAAAGAATACTGACATTTAGTTGGATATCTGAAGAAAATCACCTCCCCCACCTATTCTCTCTGTCCTTCAGCCCTTTCTCCAACTCATGTAGACTCTGTGAGCACCCACCACTTTTTCCCACATGCCCCTAGCACTCTGCTGCCCTGTTTTCTGGTGCTCATGCAGCTCTGCTCTATCTGCTCTCTGCCCTCCATGTCCAGTTCGGTACATTTCTTGTGTGTGTTTGCTATCCCTGTCTTGTTTCACAAGAGTGGCTGCAGATAGCCAGCTCTTTGGCATTTTACAGAATCACAGAATCACAGAATGTTAGAGACTGGAAGGGACCTCGGAAGATCATCTAGTCCAATCCCCCTGCAGGAGCAGGAACACCTAGATCAGATCACACAGGAACGCATCCAGGTGGGCTTTGAATGTTTCCAGAGAAGGAGACTCCACAACCTCTCTGGGCAGCCTGTTCCAGTGCTCTGTCACCCTCACCGTGAAGAAGTTTTTTCTCACATTCATGTGGAACCTCCTATGTTCCAGCTTGAACCCATTGCCCCTTGTCCTATCACTGGATGTCACAGAGAAGAGCCTGGCTCCATCCTCCTGACACTCACCCTTTACATATTTATAAACATTAATTAGGTCACTCCTCAGTCTCCTCTTTTCCAAGCTAAAGAGACCCAGCTCCCTCAGCCTTTCCTCATCAGGGAGATGCTCCATTCCCTTCATCATCTTTGTGGCTCTGCGCTGGACTCTCTCCAGCAGTTCCCTGGAGGGGCCCAGAACTGGACACAATATTCCAGATGCGGTCTCACCAGGGCAGAGTAGAGGGGGAAGAGAACCTCCCTTGACCTACTGACCACCCCCTTTCTGATACACCCCAGGATGCCATTGGCCTTCTTGGCCACGAGGGCACAGTGCTGGCCCATGGTCATCCTGCTCTCCACCAGGAGCCCCCTACACTACTCTCCAACAGGTGAGAACCCAACTTATACTGGTACTTAGAGTTGTTCTTGCCCAGATGCAAGACTCTACACTTGCCCTTGTTTTTCCCCGCCCAAATCTCCAGCCTGTCTAGGTCTCGCTGAATGGAAGCACAACCTTCTGGTGTGTCAGCCACTCCTCCCAGTTTCGTGTCATCAGCAAACTTGCTGAGGGTGCACTCTACTCCCTCATCCAAGTTGTTGATGAATGTATTGAATAGTATCGCTCCCAATACCAAACCCTGGGAGACTCCACTAGATACAGGCCTCCAGCTAGACTCCATCCCATTCACCACAACTCTCTGGCTTTTCTCCAGCAATTCACAATCCATCTCACTACCCAATCATCCAGATCACACTTCCTCAGTTTATCCACAAGGATACTGTGGGAGACAGTGTTAAATGCTTTACTGAAATCAAGATAGACCACATCTACTGCTTTACCATCATCTATCCACCTGGTAATGTCCTCATAAAAGGCTATCAGGTTGGTCAAGCCATGTTGACTCCCTCTAACGACCTTCTTATCCCTGATATGCCTAGAGACAGCATCAAGAATAAGTTGTTCCATCACCTTTCCAGGGATGGAGGTAAGGCTGACCAGTCTATAGCTACCCAGGTCCTCCTTCTTGACCTTTTTGAAGACTGGAGTGATATTCGCTTTCCTCCAATCCTCAGGCACCTCCCCCCGTTTCCCACGACTGCCTTTCCTTCCTCTACAGATATTTGCTGTGGCGGTTACTGGGAGTGTGGTTTTGGGTAAAGTAGATGGATGTTGTTTTGTGCACAGTTTAATTCTTTAGTGCAATGCCTCTGAAGCCAGTTGTGCTGAGAGTTAGGGAAAATAAATGGGTCTATCTCCTGATCCTTTCATATCCTGCCAAAACTTTATCCCTGTTATTTTATTGAATGGCCATTTTCCTTTTTTTGATCTACTAACATGAGTATTGGTCAGTAGAGAGATACCAAAAGCAACAGTTGATGGATGCAATGATCTTTAAAGTGGTTCACAACAATAATACACATTTTATAAGCTTTCCAGTGAAGCAGCCAAACAGTAGTTATTTTTCAATTTTTGTTCAACAACATATAAAGCAGTAAACTGAAAATATCTGCAATAAAAGTTTTGTCTAAATAACATTAAAAAAAAGACTTTCTTGAAATATTTGAAAAAGCATCAGAAATTCCATTTGTGTAAAAGCATGCCTTTCAAGTAGATAGATAAAATGCTACAATATGATTCCCTTATCATTTTTCTCAGTAGAAGGTAAGATCTGATTTCCAGCTTAGAAGTTCTGTGTTCTACCGATCATCACTTAAACACAACCTTTATACCAGCATTAGCACTGAAAACTAAGGTAGTTTAGCTATTATTATTTAGACTTTCCAAGCATGGTCTCTGTTGGTGAATGAACAAAAAACCGAACAATCATCATTTGCAGTTTCTACATTATCACCAGAAAGTGATGCCACCAGATGTTTCATGTGGTTATAACTTCAACCTTAAAAAAAAAAATTCTTTTTGAGAGTCTGTTGAAATGTTCTTGTGTTTGAGGGTTCTTTTGGTGTGAGGGATTTTTGGGAGCTTTATCCTGAGATGGAAAGTCTTAGCTCACATAATGCACTCAGATATTCTTCATTGTTGGGATACAATGCAACTGCTTTCTCATAGCACTCAATTGCTTCATGTTCCTCACCATTTAGACGATGAACGCGTGCAAGTGTACCAAAATCTGTTGCATCTCCTACACCCCTCTGAATCCTTTGTTCCAACAATTTTTTCAGAGCATTTTTGCACTTACTTCTTGAATAAGAATCATTTTCAATATTCAGCACTTCTGTGTAACACCTAATGGCTTCAGATTCTGATTTCATATGAAAACGCTGAAAATTGCCATAGTGGTAGTAGAATTCTTGTTTATCATCATAGGATAGAATATTTATCTGAAGCGCTTTCTGAAATGTCTCTTCTGCTTCTTCATACCTCTTTCCTTCTGCATACATGTTTGCTAGGTCAATAAAGGCAGAAAAAAAGGTTCTCTTTTGGTCAGTCGCTGTTTTAAAATGAAAAATGGAAAGTCGGATGAGTGTCTCCACTTGCTCTTGAGGTGGATATCTCATAGTTGTTTTCAGTTGAAATAGCTTTGCTCTGTAGCAGAGTCCTATCTGATGATGCAAAAAGGCAGATTTTGGTGTCACTGCCAAGGCCCTTTTCAAAATCTCCAGTGCCTTGTCCATTTCTCCTTTCCTTCTATAAAATTTAGCTGCGTATCGGAGGAAATAAGGAAGATCAGGGGTTTTCTGCATTGCTTCTTCGATGTATCTCTCCCCTTCATCAACTTGCTTTAAGTCCTGAAGTTTTAATGCAAGTAATGCTGCAATGAAAGTATCCTTTGGATTCAGTTCCACTGCACGCTTCAGGGGCTTGAGGGACAGGCTCACATCTTCACATTGACTGTGAGAAAAGTCTTCCAAACGGTACATTGCTATTGCATAGCCAGTATTAAATTCCGGGCTGTTGGGTTCACTCTTCAGAGCATTTTCAAAGCAATTCTTTGCTCTCTCATAGTATTTTCTCCCAAACTTTAATAATGCCCATCCTTGCTCAGCATAGATCTCTGGAAGCTGAATCTTCCATTGAGCAGTACTTGAAAGCTTTTTGCAGCTGTTTTCCACTTTGCTTATGTAAATTTGAGCTTCTTCTAATCTCTCCATGTGGTAATAGATCCAGGCATAGTTTCCCCAGGTAACAAGACTTCTCCTGTCAATTTCATCTGGATGATTTTTTTTAACAACTTCTTCAGCTTTTTGGAGATTTCTCAGGGCTTCCTCATTTGAATTCTTTAGGTAGCATACATAGGATAGTAGATTATAATTGGTGATGTTGGATTTTATTAAAAACTCAATCTGATCGCCTATTGTTTCCTTTAGGGCATCAAGATCCACATCCTGCTTCAGCAAAGTCCATGTAAAGTGACATTCTAGCTTCAGCAGGGACCTCTTCAATGAATTCTTGGAAATGGCACTAAAAGAAATTGAAGAAAAACTTACTTATAGTCATTTGCTTTTTGCTACTCTTGTTTTTAAACCAAGCATTATGCACTTAAGAGCAGGCAATACTTCAGCTGGTGCCACTACTAACAACACTTCAAACAAGCCAAAGCTGTGGGCAGCCATAGGTCAAAAGTGCTGAATAGTTATTTTAGTACTTTTCCTTGCCAGTCTATGAAGGCACTTCTTACATAATAGCCGAGCTGGTGCTCTGGATGTCAAAGAGGAGGACTAGTTCCTACAGCAAAGCTGGCACACCTCTGGGCCTCAGGAACATATTTCCTCTGCTGGGAACAATTGCTGAAGCCTACCCAAAAGAGGTAATGAAATAAACTTCCCCCAAAATATAGAGAAAGTGATACAGTTCTTTACACATGTCTCTGTTTCCCATGTATATATTACGGTTTGGATTATAGATTTCATTTTGAATTTCTTGCATTTGTAAATGCACCATTTTTATGCTATGATGCATGATGATGTATCCAGTAGCTGGCTCCCAGATCCCACCAGTCTCCCAGATCCCATCAGTCTCCCCAGCTGCTGGCACTTGGGCCTACAGCCTCCTGAGGGTGCAGCCCCACTCCAGTTGCTGGTACAGACCACACACTCGCTCATTAACCCTATACATCCCCAGAAGCTGGCTTTGGACATTTAGTAGCTGGTCAGGGATCCTCTCTCTGCCCGGGTGCCTCACGCTTACAGACACACACACACAAAAGCAAGCATACTGACCAGACTTTCTTTACATACCAGTGGTCCTTAATACCCCTCTATCCCTCTCTATTTTTCAACATTTGTTCCTTTCCAAATCACCCAGGTCCCTTGTTTCCCTGTCTTTGTTCCCCTCCCCAAACATCCCATAAGAAGTCTCACGCAAGCCCCAAATGCATCCCATAATGTGTCCCGTATCCCTAGGTACTAGACACTCTTGTGGACCCCTGGTGCTGGGTGTCCCCCCGGTGCTGGGCGTCCCCCCGGCCGTGGGGCTGAGGGTCCCCTGGGGCAGTCCTGGGAGGGCCCGGTGGGGGCTCATGTCCCTGACTGGGGCATTGCAGTGCCCCCACCTGCCCTTGTGCCTCTGTGTTCCTCTGTGTGCGTGGGGGTGGGCTGATGGCTCTTGGGATGGGCCTGGGAGCAGCCAGGGCAGGGTGTTATTTGGGTTTTCTCTTCCACCATTGCCTGCCTGTGCCCCTGTGGAGGTGTGCACACCAGCTTTTATCACACACTCTATCAGGGACAAACCCTTACAACACAGAGGAGATAAGGCTTTAGTGCACATTGTGCTCTCCCTTAAAGAAGGAATTATACATGACTTTATAACTGAGGCTTCTCAGTCAAACCCTTCTTTGTTAGACTTCTCTGCTCTCCCTCCTGTAGAACCTAGAGGTATCCAATTACGAGGAAGCAAATAAGGGAGGAATCCAGAAGCAAGTCTTACAGGTTCTGGGGGAGTAGGAAGGACACTGGGGAAAGCGACACTGAATACATGTTTCCACCCAAACCATCTGACATAGAGGTTCTGGAGGAAGGTGAGACCAAAAAAAGTATTTAGAAATGCTGTTAATGCGTAAACTCATTTTACAGATATCTTTGGCTTTCTTAAATAATCTCCTCTGCCTCACTGATGTTTTTGATTGGTATTAACAACAGTTCCTAATTAGAAGCTGTACAGTTCTTCTGAGATGAAGGGGAAGTGAGAGCAGGTTCCTGTTATTATCACTATCTTGTTAGAAATCTTTGGCTACAGGTGGATACCATAGAACAGATATTGTCTCCCAAATCAGCAGAAGGAACTTGAAACATTTAAGTAGTCCCATTCAGTTAAAAATGTGTGTTGTTTTTCATTGCCTTAGCTGAGAACCATGGCAATGTCCATGGCTGAAAACAACAGTAGAGAGTAATTGATGAAAAAGCATTTGTGGAAAATTAATATTCCTGAATGTCACAAAACCAGATTTGTGATGCAGATTAAATACAGTTTAGCATCGTTTAACACATAACTGGCATAACCAGTAAATGCAATTTCCAAAGTTGGCATAAACATCTTGGCTTTGCCCTACTTGAGCATATGTGTGTGTTGGGGTGTGTGTGTGTGTGTGTGTGCATGTGCACGCACACATCTCTGTGCATGTGTGACAGCCTTCAGAATATGTCACCCCCCCTTTTATGCTCCAAGCTGCAGCCCAGAAGCTGCACTGATCTGTTTGCTGGTCCTTGCAGTAGTAGAGATCAGAAAGTAAATTCTCAAATGCATCAGTGCCAATCGCCCATTTGACTGGTCACCAGCTACAGCTGCAGCCTGGATTTCACCCCTGAGCAGCATGCACACAGTTTTTCTGTCAGTTCTGTTCACAGGGACCAGCCCTTGTCAGAGAAGCAATAACATTGCAATATTCAACAGCATTCTATTTTATTGTGATTCTTCCAGTAAACATTCAGTAAAATATTTTCTGCTGTTTGGATCCCCAAAGTTGCTCACTGCATACGTTTATATAAACAATAAGCATTACTTTCCCATGGCATAGCAAAAAACATCCTTCAGAGACTGAGTTGCTCGCTTACCTCATGGTTTTCCTTCTCTGCTCACTTGTCTTAAGGTAACTTCAAAGCCAAAGAAGTGCCACTTGCTGTTGTTATGACTTCCCTTTTATGTGCTCCAGCCCCCATGTGATCTGTGAGCAATTTAACGGGAACCAGAAAGTGAAACTTCGGCTTATGTCTGAATCTGCAAAAGAAGCTGAACAACCACCAGCAGGGGAATAGAAACCTAGGAGTCACTAAGCTGCTTTTTTCAGCCTGGCTCCATGCCATGCATTACACTGTGTTATGGAGAATGTGGCAACAGCTCCTAATAGCTCTCCGCGTTTACTTTGTTCAAATCCAGAGGCATCTGCGATAAGGAGAATATTTCAGGCTAGTATAGGCTGACCGGGTTATCATGCATAGGCTAGGGAAGGGTCATTTCCCCCTTTTGCCTTTTCTGATGCATCTTTGCACAATTTTGCACCATGCTTTAGGCTCCTGTTTTGTTGGTATTGTGTCATGCACATAAAATTCACACAATGTTTTATTATCCCTGATGGCACTCCTCCATGCCCATCCTGTATCTCCCCATTATAGGGTCTCTGTTGCTCTGCCAGACTTGCATTTCTCTGCACAGGCTGAGGGAGCTGGGGTTGTTTAGTCTAGAGAAGAGGAGACTGAGAGGAGACCTTATCAGTCTCTACGACTGCCTGAAAGGAGGTTGTAGTGAGGTGGGTCTGGCCTCTTCTCTAAAGTAACAAGAGATAGGACAAGAGGAAACGGCCTCAAGTTGCACCAGGGGAGGTTAGGCTAGGTATTAGAAAAAATTTCTTCACTGCAAGAGTGATCAGGCATTGGAACAGGCTGCCCAGGGAAGTGGTGGAGTCACCATCCCTGGAGGTGTTCCAGAAACGTGTAGATGTGGTGCTTAGGGACATGGTTCAGTGAGTTAGGTGGTGTGGGTTGGCAGTTGGACTTGATGATCCTTGAGGTCTTTTCCAACCTTAATGATTCTATGATTCTATGGTTGTTTTGGAGTCCTAAATATCTCGTCCCACCTAGAAAGACTGCCTGCTGCTGTTCTCTACATAAGACTGCAGTTGTACTGTGCAAAGGTAAACGAAAGTGAAACAAATCAGATACAGACACCCAGGAAATTCGAGAAATTACTGTCACAGTTGGGCCAAGCAAAACAAAGCTGCCGGCAAGTCAGTACAAGCTCAAACAGAGCAGGCCTGGCAAGCCTCAGTCCCGAGGCCGTGCAAACTCTCTTCAAAGCCTGTGGCCTGATGCTCGCAACAGCAATAGCATGTTACAGGGCTACATGTTAACAAAGAGATGGGGCACGGGTTAGGCACAGGAGCACCTACAGATAAAAACAACTCACTGATGCTTAAAAAAAATGCAGACCTGGCTTGATAAAATTTATTTTAGGAGTAACAAAGAGATCAAAGAAATAGTATCTAACATACCAAAAGGGCACTACATATAGTAAATTCAGATGTAAGCTGATGCCGCAGACCAGTAAAGAAACAGAAATGTGTAAAAGCATGTTAGCAAACATATAAAAATGACCCAAAGTGGATCCTGGGGGGGAAGAAGAAGAAACAATCAGTAGCATCATGTTTCTTCCAAGAAAGGATGCCAGTGGCTGATGATGGTCTGTGTTATCCTCTCCAGCAGCCTAAAGCTACTGATCTGAATGCCCAGAAGAGCAATCTCCACGGGAAGGAACAGAAACTAAGAAGTGTCTGTGTGTGTAACAATTTTAACCATAATATTGGTATTACTGTGAATTTTTCTGTAAGTACTTTAACTTTATTATTAGTATTCTTTCTCTTTTTGTCATAAATAGATCTAGACTAGTGATGATTCTTGTATTAGACAGAGATTTTCATTATACTAACAAAAAATTTTTGTCTTTATGTATAAAGACATATTGTCTTAACTGTATAAGGTTTGCTTCCTCCTTAGCCATAAACAAGATTTATTAAGTAACATCACAGAACCTTTCTCCATTTGATTTTAAAATGTGAAAGCATCTTTTTGAGAAATATGTTCAATTAGATACTGTCTAATGTCTTTCATAGTTAATATCTGTGGAATTTGAGGGACTATCCCCCCCATTTTGTAAAAATAAGCAAATAAAAATGAATGTAAGGGTGCCTTATGAGGCTTTTCATTTTTCCTGGTACATGACAGCTCCCCTCGTTTTGTGAGGTTTTTAGTAGAGAATGCACAAGGTTGTCCCTCTGTCATAACAAGCCAGAAAGTAATTTAAATCAAACCTCATTATCACCTCAGAACTGCTGCTGTTGCCATAATGTTCAACCTCTACAATTACAGACAAGAATTAACAGTATTCCATGTTTTTGTTTATAAAATTACACAATCTATGACTGCCAGTTTGTACCCTTTCAAGAATTTTAGGTTCTGGCTTATAAAAAACTA